GATCATTAGCAAGGACTGTGGGCTGGTCTTTCACAGGTATTATCTCATTTAATCCACAACTCTATAAACAGGGAGTGGGGGGTCATGGCTCTCATCATGTACATTTTACAGATGGGAGAACTGAGGCCCGAAGAGCTTAATTGGCTGCTAAGTGGCCACGCTGGGAAGCCAGCACACACAGTCAAACCCCACTGACAGATGGTTTTATTGGTTTATTTCTTGTTTATGGTCTCCCTACGCCCCTTCCCACAATGGACTATGACCCTGCTGGAAGTCACTGGGCCAGAAGGGTTCAGCCCTGCCAGTCAATTGTTCACAACATAGTAGTAAGTAAGCACGAGTGCACCTGTGCTTACTTCTCTAATTGGGTATCCGACACTGCCTGGACCCATATTGCCGCACAGGTCAGGCATCCCAGCTCCTACTGAATACCTGGGTCCCCAGCCTTGAGCACCCAGGAGTCCTGGCCCCCAGCCAGTGGTGGGCTGGAGCCAGCTGACCACTTCTAAGTCAGCAAAAGCATATCTATAATGTGTTTTTTTAAAATCATTTTATTGGGGGCTTATACAGCTCTTATCACAATCCATACATGCATCCATTGCGTCAAGCACATTTTGTACATTTGTTGCCATCGTCATTTCCAAAACATTTTATTTCTTCTTGAGCCCTTGGTATCGGCTCTTGACTTTTTTGCATGTCTATAACTTGAAAGACTATTTACATCATGGGCATAGGTACACAGCACAAGTCAGGCCTCCCCGCCTCCCAGAGCCTGTTGTTAAATATTAAAGGCCAGCTGGAGAAGGACTGCATGCCCAGGCTGGACCCCAAGTCCCAGCACCCCCCCATTCCTCCCAACCTCCACTTCCAGTCCACTGTGCCGACCCCCACGCATCGCGGACCGGAACACCTGCTCCTATGTCTCCTTCCAATTTGGGATACACGGATGTGGACAGTCCACTTTTCCTGTCCTCCATCTGGAGCATGGGGAGGTCCCTCTAAGCACACAGACCTCAAAGTCACATTTCTGGGGTTCACATTCAAGTTTTGCCCTGTCCCCCCCTCACCCCCCCACCCCCACCCCCGTGAACCTCCATTTCCTCATCTTTAAAACAGGCACAGGAGGAGGTCCTGGTGGTGGAGGGGTTACAAGTTGGGCTGATTCGAAGGTCAGCAGTTCAAAGTCCCCAGCAGCTCTGAAGGAGAAAGATGAGCTTTCTGCCCACACAAACAATTACAGTCTCAGAAACCCACAGGGCAGTTCTACCTTGTCCTATACGGTTGCTACGAGTCGGAATTGACTCGATGGCAGTGAGTTTGTTTGGGGGAAATTATTAGGGGTTTAAGGAGACCTGGTGGTTAGTGGGTATAGGTTGGGCCGCTAACCATAAGGTCAGCAGTTCGAAACCACCAACTCCACTGGAGAAAGATGAGGCTTTCTACTCTCTTTTTTTTTCTTTCTACTCGCTTAAAGAGTTACAGTCTCGACATCTCAATAGGTCTCCATTGACTTAGACGGTAGTGATTTTTTTTTTTTTTAATAAAGAGGTTAGTTGGGGCGCTGGTCAAATTTTGTGTCGCTGTTAGGAATCGTCCTCCCCCACTGAGCCCGTTGGAGCGGTAAATTGCAGCAATCACGTCGAGGCTCCGCGCCGAGTCTGCACACAGTAGGTGGCCCGGTCATAAGGTCCTGTGTGACCAGGCTGGAGACCGTCCCTCAGCCCGGCTGAACCACCCCAACCACCCCGCCACCAGCGGCACCCCGCCTGTAGCCCCGCCCCCTCACCTGTGCGGGCCGCGCACCTGGCACCGCCTCCGGAAGAGGGGACCAGCGACTGTGGGGACCTTGGCGGGAGGCGACAGGTAAGAGTCTGGGGGGACGCCGAGGGCAGAGGTCTTCGCGCCTTGGGTTGGGTGGGCCGGGGGAGAGAGGGTGCGGGGACGAGCGGCCGGACCCCCAGGGCCGGAAAGGCTCTGGCGGCCGCAGGAAAGACCGACGGACCGGGCTTCCGACCCTAGGGCAAGGGTCGAGGGGCTGGGGACCCAGGCGCCTTCCGCAGAGCCGGGCCCCGCGCGACACCTGGGTCCCGCGGGCAGGTGTGGGCTTCCGCCCCGGGGGCGGGAAGGGGGCGCAGACAGGTGCGGGAGGATGGGTCGCGATGGGGGAGGGCTGGGGGCCGGCGGCGGCTGAGCCGCCCCGGACCCCCCTGGGCATCGCAGCCCCGGCGCCCCGAACCCCGCGGCCTGGGCGCCCAGGGGAGCGGCGGACCCTGGGTCCCAGGGGCGGGCCGGGAAGTAAACAGAAACCCAGAGCCGTGCCTGCGCGCAGCCGGCACAACCTGTTCCCTCGCCCTGCCCGCTCCCGATGCCCCAGCCCAGGGAGCCGCGGCCAGCGGCCGCCCAGGGGGCCGGCCCCAGGAGGCCGAGGGCGCGCACTCAGGGGGTTCTGGGGTCCGACGGGGAGGAAGCGTCTCTGCTGGCCGGCCTGCGGCTCTGATGCCGGAGAACTCTGCAGTCCGAGGGCCAGGATGGAGGGCAGGACCAGGCTGCAAACCAGGGCATCTGAGTCCTGGGCCAAAGCAAAGGCGGGGCTGCCGGACTCCTGGGGGTGGGGCATCGACACCCCTGAGTTACCAAAGGGTAGAGTCCTGGATTCCTGGAAGGTGTGGGGCGCCCGAGGGAGCATGGATCCTGGAAAAATCCGGGGAGGGTGGGAAACAGGACATCTGGTACTGAAATGACGGTAGCAGGTGGTCTCCAAGCAGGACAGACTTTCCTAAAGCGACGCACGGCTGGCAAGGGCAAAGGCAAGCGGGCTCACATCCTTCTGTTCCCTGCCTCAGTTTACCCTGGGGACAGTAACGGGGCTGGGCGGCCAAGACACCGGTCATTAGCACAGCTTGGTCTTGGGGGGCCCTGGCTGTAAGGCTAGGAAGGCCAGGTGGACAGCAGGAGACTTGCTGGAGGGCCAGGTCTTAGGAGGTGGAGGTGGGGTGGAAGCAAGTCCAAGTCCAGTTGGATTGCAGAGTGGCCTGTCCCCACAGACGCTGCGGGCGCCATGAGCTCCCCAGAGGGGCCAAGCTTCCCATCGTCAGGACTGCTCTCGGGGGGCGCCTCCCCCAGCGGGGACGAGGGCTTCTTCCCCTTCGTGTTGGAGAGGCGCCACTCGTTCCTGGGAGGGGGCCCAGGGCCCGAGGAGCCGGAGGACCTGGGCCTGCAGCTGCAGCGGAAGGAGAAGGACCTGCTGCTGGCCGCCGAGCTGGGCAAGATGCTGCTGGAGAGGAATGAGGAGCTGCGGAGGCAGCTAGAGACTCTGGGCGCCCAGCACCTGGAGCGTGAGGAAGTGAGCCGGCCGGGAGGCGGGGCAGCTGGGTGGAGGGAGGGCAGGTGGGTGGGTAAGCAGAACACTGAGTAGAGAAGAACAGGCAGCCAGGAGTGGGGTGGCCAAGGAAGGACGACATCTGGGTGAAGAAGGTAACTTACAGTAGCTAGAGAACTGGAAGAAGCAGAGGGAAGACGCAGTGGCCAGAGGCCAGCTGGTGGACAGATGGGCAGGTGCACAGGGGCATGGCAGCCAGGCAGAAGGACACACCTCTGGACCAGTTCCCAGCTAGGCCCTGGCTCCTTGGCAAGGTGGCCCAGAGGAGAGGCTCAGAGGACAATTTAAGGCCTTGGTTCAAACCCTGCCTGGCCGTGTGGCCTGGCTAAGCGTCTAGCCCTCTCTGCATCTTGAGACGTCAGTTACTGAGTACTCATCCCTGCTGCCCAGGCTCAGGGCTGGTCAGGTATGGGTGAGGAAGGGTCTGTCCTCTGTCGTCAGGCAGGCTCTCACCAAGGGGACACAGCTGGTCCCCTAATTGTCTCTCACACCACTGATGCCTGTACCTACATCATGGCCCAACCGCTGCCCTGTACCCCTCCAACCCCCCAATGGGGTCTCAATAGAAGCGGCCCTCTTGAGTCCATCATTCCACCCCCCAGTCAGCTCCCCACCGCCAGGTACACATCCCTGGGAGAGCTCGCGTGTTCTCCCCCCACATCCTTAAGCCCTGCCCATTCTGTTCTACACTAGATTCTAGATCCTACATTGTCCTGTCTGCAGCCTCCAACAACGCCCCCCCCTGCCCCCACTCCTGGCCGTTGCCCCCATGGCCTCTGGGTTATGCCCTCCTGGAGCCTGTTCCCCACGGGGCCACCAGGGGGTGCGTCAAAACGGACAATCCGACCATGTCACTTCTTGGAGCAGGCATTTCCCAAGGGCCTTTTCTCACACTGTAACTCAATGGAAACTCCTCCCCAGGGCCTGGAAGTCCCATGGAAGAGGGGTCGGGGGCAGGTGGGCATTCTGTCATGTCCCCTCCCCAAGACTTCATCTAGGTCACACAGCTAGCCCCCTCGCCCCCTCGCCTCCCCACCCCACCCCATTGCCCACAGCTGACCCCCACCCACCACAACAGCCCAGTTCCCAGAATAACTCAAGCTTATGCTCCTACAGACCTTTGCACCTGCTGTTTCTTGGTTTGTCAGCTGCCCCTGGTCTATCCCTCCTCAGTCTGCAGTCCTCACTCCCAAACATCACCCTGCACAATGGAAGGAAGGAAGCCCCGCCCAGCCTGGCTCCTTCCTCCCTCTGAATCACGACTCAAGGTCTCCTGACCATCCTGCTCACCCATCCTTTGGCAGTGACCAGATCCCAGCAAGTGTCCCTTTACCCAGGACTGGTCCACCCTAGGGGTGCAGCGGGTTAAGTGCTGGGCTGCCAACCAAAAGGTGGATCGTCCAAACTCACCAGCTGCCCCTGGAGAGATGGTGGGGAGGTAGGGGGTTGTTTCCCTAAAGATTGCCAGCCTCAGAAACCCTAGGGCTGCCATGAGTTTGAATGGACCCGGTGGTGGTAGATTTGGTTTCCGTCCACTCTCGGGATCTAGGCTGCTGGAGGACAGTTGAACTTGGTGATCTCATTTATCACTGAACAGTCAGACCCCAGAATGTAGTAGGTGCTCAGGAAATAATTGCTACATGGCTGGCTGGATGGATGGCTGGATAGGATTCAGAGAAATCGAAGGACTTGCCGGATCACACAATGGTGGCAGAGCTAGGTATAGGCAAGACAATTGCTCCCCTGAATGTGCCAGCTGAACCCTTGGACTATGATGTTCCCTCAATCCCCCAGTATTCAGTGAAGAGTTTAACTGCTTGGATTGGAATCCTTGCTCCACTTATTCACTGTGTGCCCTGGAACAAACCATTTAACCTCTCTGAGCCTCAGCTCCTTCATCTGCAAAGTGGGGATATTCAGAAGTCGCCCTCGGTGGTGGTGGGGGTTGTTACATGAGAGAATGCAGTAAGGTGTAGCACAGGCCTGGCTGCTTATAAGCTGCTAGAAGTGTTTGTAGCAGCTTCTATTGTCTGGGCACAGATGCTGTCCTCTTGAGGACTGGACAGAGTGGGGACTCAGGGCCAGCCTGCCACGGACCTGTCTCCCCAGGCTGGGCCTCTGAGTTTGCCAGAGCGCCCCCCCCCCCCTGCTTGTCAGACAGGTTTTGGGGGAGCAGGCGGAGGCGTGGAGCCAGGGCGGGGTTGCACAGGGCTAATTAGAAAGAGCTGGGGAGAGGGGCCAGAAGCTTTAGAAAGTGAGTCCCCAGCACAGCTGGGTGAGACTATGGGCCGGGGTCTGGAATCCACCCACCTCCGGCGCCAGAAGAGGCGCCTGAGACCGAAGTCCAGGCAGCAGTCTGAGGTGAGTGGGTACCAGGGAACCCACCTGTCTGACTGGGACCCTTCTCCATGACTCTCCCTCTGCCCACTTCTCTCTACATCTCTGGGCTTGCTCTCTCTGCTGGCCACTTCCTAACTTTCTCCCCTCTGCTGGAGCTCAGTCTGAGGCTGACTGAGGCCCTGGTCCCCCACAGCGGCTGCAGCAGGAGAACCATGAGCTCCGGAGGGGCCTGGCCGCCCGGGGAGCTGAGTGGGAGGCCAGGGCTGTGGAGCTGGAGGGGGATGTGGAGGCCCTGAGGGCCCAGCTCGGGGAGCAGCAATCAGAGCAGCGGGACAGCGGCCGAGAACGAGCCCGGGCCCTGGATGAACTCGCTGAGCAGAACCTGCGGCTCAGTCAGCAGCTGGCCCAGGTGGGTGGCTGACCAACCCCTGGTCCCTGGTCCCTGGGTCCACAGCGCAGTGGGGTATGCTGGGCTTGGTGTTAAGGCTTGGGCCAGCTGAGGGCACCACCCTGTCCCCCAGGCCTCCCAGACGGAGCAGGAGCTTCAGAGAGAACTGGACACCCTGCGGGGGCAGTGTCAGGCACAGGCCCTGGCCGGAGCCGAGATGAGGACACGGCTGGAGAGTTTAAAAGGAGAGGTAAGTGCTGCAGGAGGGCCAGGGCCGCTTTGAGCTGAAAGCAGTCAGGGGGGTTGTCTGGGTGTGTTGGCCACCCCCCAGTGTGGAACCTCTTTCTCCAGAACAAGATGCTGCAGAGTCGACGGCAGGACCTGGAGACCCAGATCCGGGGTCTGCGTGAGGAGGCAGAGAAGGGTCAGGGTCGGCTGCAGGCCACCCACGAGGAGCTGCTGGTACTGCGGCGCGAGCGGCGTGAGCACAGCCTGGAGGTGGGCACACATGTGCGGCCAGTGTGTGTGTGTGTGTGTGTGGGGGGCACCCAGCTCAGCCCTCTGGGGCTGCTACCCTGGGATTTCTGGAAACTGAGGCCAGAGCTGGATTCCTAGTAACCCCGATAGCCAGCCACAAGCAGATTACACATGGCAGAGTGCGTCTTGACCGGGCAGAGAGGAGGCCGTGGGCTCCTGGACCAGCGCAGGAAAGGGAAACCGGATGACCTGCTGTAGGAGGTCCACAAAGTTTGCACCACCTTCTCATCAGATTGCTTGGATTCTGATCTTGGAACCACTCACTTCACTGGGGTCGCAGAGCCTGTTTCTTCATCTGGGAAATAGGCCGGCCATGGGACCTCCTTCCCAGAGCTGTGGCGCCACTCTGTGCCACGCCTGGTTGAGAAGAAAGGATCAATAAAACCTACGAGGAGGGTGCAGGTGGAGTTGGGGAGGCTGGAGTGGGGACGCCCGGTGCGCCTACTTTATTGGTGGGAAATTGGTCCCAGGACGCTTGGTGGTGCACGTGGCCGTGCTGCCCCTGCAGCGGTCGGGGCGGGGCCAGGGCTCCCGGCGCTCGCGCGCCCCCTGGTGGGAGGCCTGCCGGCTTAGGTGCAGCCTCGGTCTCCCTGCAGCTGGAGCGCGCGCGCTCCGAGGCTGGGGAGGCGCTGAGCGCGCTGCGGAGGCTGCAGAGACGGGTCTCGGAGCTGGAGGAGGAGTCCCGCTTCCAGGATGCCGATGTGTCAGGCGCCTCCCTGCAGTCTGAGCTCGCCCGAAGCGTCGACGGCGACCAGGACCCGGATGTGGATGGGCACGGAGACTCTCTGGTGAGCTCCAGCTCCAACAGCCACCCACATGCGCGTCGCCACTTCTGGTCCCTCGAGTATCACCTCACTGACCGGTTCCATTACCCCTGCAGACTCAGGCCCCGGAGCCACTGGCAGCTTCCAGTCCACAGCCTGCTCCCCAGGAGGACAGCTTGGAGCCCCCCAAGAAGCGAGCAACCCTGAGCTCAGCGGAGATGCTGGAGGAAAGGGAGGCAGAAGTGGCCAGGCTGCAGGATGAGGTATGTGGTAGGCGGCCCAGTACAGGAGTCGGATCCCTGCCTGCTGTCACTCTCCCGTCTTTCTCCACTTCTGAGCTTTGCCCATTCAGCAACCCCTCCACACACACCTAGATCATCCTTCTTTCCCCCCAAAGAGGCCCTACTTTTAGAGGCAGCTCTAGGACACCTCCAGGCTGCCTTCCTGGATACACACATGCTTTCGCCCTGTTGCCTCTCTCTGCCCTCACCCCTGCATCAGCCTGGGGTACTCCTTGCTGGGAGAGGCCGAGGCTAGGGGATCTGACCTGCCTGGTTACCCCTTCCCTCCCTCCTGCAGGTCTCATTGCAGCGGGTGGAGCTACAATCCCTGCACGAGGAGCTAGAGAGGCAGAGGGAGCTGCGCACCCAGGAGGACCCAGAGGGGGCCCTGAGCAGCGCCCTGTCAGATCGAGAGGAGGCCGTGAACAAGTGAGCTCTGCACCCCCATTGCCACCCGCCCACACCCTGTTCAGTTTCCTGTCTCCCTTCATAGTCCCGAGCACCCAGACTAGCCCCTACCTCTTCCACCTTCAGGGCCCTGGAACTATCCCTGGAGCTCAGCCGCGTCTCTCTGGAGAGGGACTCCCTGTCTCGGGAGCTACTGCGCGCCATCCGCCAGAAGGTGGCGCTGACACAAGAACTGGAGGCCTGGCAGGTAGGGGCGGGGCCTGGAGGTGGATCTGAGGGCGGGGCCTGAGTAGGCGGGGCCCACACGCTGACCTCACCCCCGCAGGATGACATGCAGGTGGTGATTGGACAGCAGCTGCGTTCGCAGCGGCAGAAGGAGCTCAGTGCAACCAGGTCCACCCCGCGCCGCGCCTCACCCCGTTTTTCGCTACGCCTGGGCCCGGGGCCCGCCGGCAGCTTCCTCAGCAACCTCTTCCGAAGGACCTAAAGGCGGCCAGGGGTGCTGCCCTTGCCCCCGCTGGGGCTGTTTCCTCTTGGAGCCAATGGCGCCACAGAACCCGGATTACGTTCCAAGGGGGAACTGAGACCCTCCTTGTCCCCCGAGCAAAGGCTTGGCAGAAGTGCATAGGAAAGCAGGCCAGCTTATGGTGGACCCCCCGCGGTGGATGGTGGGTGGAGCTGTCTTCAGAATCCCTGTCTGTGGCTTCCAGATCGCGGTATTTATGTATCAGAGTAATATATATCAGTCACCACCACACCTGCCTGCCTGCCCTTTTTTGAAGGACCCAAACAAGAAATGTCAAAACTTTATTTATAAAAAAAGCGGGGTGGGGTGGGGGGGGTGTTTGTGTGTCCTGGGCTCAGAAGGACAAGGAGAAGGCACGGTAGCCCAGGTTGGTGAAAACATCGACACGGCTGCTGTTGCCTGCAGCTGTCAGGACCTGGGGACACAGAGGTGGGAGAGCCCTGCTCAGCACCTGGCTGCCCACTCCCATGCCCTGCCCCAAGGAACGCACCTTGCACTCGGGGGCCGCCGGCTGCTGATTGAGGCTCAGGCTGAGGAGCCCTGGGGAAGAGCCTGGCACCTGGGCCTTGAGTTCCCCACTTAGCTGCCACTGGTTGATGCAGGGGCCCTGACCGGCCGACAGAATCTGCAGGGCAAGAGAGCCCAAGGGTCAAAGCTGACCAGGAGAGGTAAGGAAGAGGGGGGGAGGCAGGACAAACAAGAGACTCACCAGGTCCTGGTAGAAGGTGACCTGCTTCTGTGGCGCCCTCATGGGGAAGATGGTGGTGGGCGTGGAGGACCGCAGGTGCCAAAGGGTCAGGGCCGGGCCCCCTCCACAGACCTAGGGCGACAGGAAGGGGGTGTATGACCACCATGAACCATAATGCCTTATAAGCAAGGCCCAGTGTACCACTTGACCCCTCCTGCCCTCTGCCCAGCTCACCATCCAGTCCGAATCAGTGGCCAAGCACCCAATCCAGCGACCATTTTGGGGCCTGGAGCACTCCTAGGAGGAAGAGAGGGAGTGGGGGGATGCAGAGGAGGCTGGGAAGGAGGCTGAGGCTGGAGCTGGGGCTGGGGCCTGGCCTCACCTCGTGCTTGTAGACCTCGATTATCTGTACCTCCTTAGCCACGCGGAGATCTGGGGAGAGTGGAATCCGGAGTGGTTCCATGCCCTCCCTGTCTCCCTGCTGCCATCTTTCCGTCCAACCAGCCTGCCCACCCCTTACCCCAAAGCCTCACGGTCCCGTCTTCTCCCCCCGACAGAACCTCGGGGCTTCGCTCCCTCAGCGCCAGGCAATGGACGTAGTCTGTGTGACCCCGGAGGGTCCGCTGCAGAGGAGTGAGGGGGCGGGGGTCAGAGGTCTGGCTCAAAGGAGGATCCTGCCCATCTCCTGCCCCCACTCCTGCCCTGCCCCCACCCTCTCACTGTAAAGGCCCTGGTTTCCAAGTCCATGGTATGCAGTTGACAGTCTCCCCCGGCCAGGATGAGGGAATTCTCCTGTGGATGGAGGCAATACAGGACCAGAGGTCTTGACTCAGAATGGGGGGAGAGGGCAGGACCAACACTTGGGCCACAAATGGGGTATGCCAAGACCCAGTCACTACAGGTTCACGGGGCATCCGACCTTGGGGACTAGCAGCAAAGCATTGATTTCGGGCACTTCCAGGCTGGTCCTGAGGAAGGAATTTGTGGTCAGCTTTGGTCCTCTGGGCATCTTTCCACCCAGGTGCCCTGACCTAGCCCTGGCTCACCTGTATGGTGGCTGACGCCTCCAGAGCTCCTTGCTACCCTGCATGGGGGGAGAGGCCAAGTGATCTCCAGGTCCTTGGGGGCATGGGACCTCCACCCTCCCCGCTCTCCACATTCCTGACCTTCTTGAGGATCTCTGCCCACAGCCAGGCCTTCACCTCCCCGTCCCCAGCACTGAGCAGCTGCCGATCGGTGGACACCATGGTGTAGACGGGCCCATCATGGGCTGAAGGGAAAGGCAGACCTAAGTGACTCCACCCTGTCCCTGCCCCCACCCCAGGGTCCCCAAGGCCACATCCAATGGCAGCAACCTACCTTGGAAAGTCACCACGGGCTTCTTACTCTCCTCTTTAGCTTCCGAACTCAGAGCTGCGGACAGGCTGAAGGGGAGAAAGGAGGGGGTTCAGGAGGGCCGAATGCCAGGGTTAGTGGGCACTGAACAGCAGGAGCCAAAGATACCTGAAGATGGCAATCTGCCCGTAATTGTTGCCAGCTGCCAGGAACTTGCCGCAGGGGGACACGCTCTGAGAGAAGACTGTCATGTGCAGCCGCTGTAAGGCCTGGAACACCTCCATCTGCGGGGTGACAGGGGATGAGAGCCCGCGGGCTGCCCGGACCTCTCAGTCCCCTTCGAGACACCTGTCTGTACAGCTCTGGGAGGAAGATGTGCAGCCCAATGGGACTTTTGAGTTTCCCCGCGTGCTAATGTATATATAAGGCTTCGCCACCAGTAAAGTGCATAAAACGTGGTTCTCCTGCTCCTAGGCCAGTAAAACGGGCAGATTTCGGGGTTACACCTCTGCTTCTGGGTCTGAAGTTCGATTCCCACAAACGGCCACGCTCCGGGCTCCGGGCATGGAATACAACTCCCAGAAGGCCCCGCGCGTCCCGCGCTCGACTCACCTGACTCAAAGGAACCGCGTGTGGCAATGTTCGCTCCATATCCAGGACTACAACACCCAGCGTGCTCCGCACGACGCGGCCTGACGAATCCAGGCGTGCCCGCGAGCAGCTCCTCCGCGCTGTCCCACGGCTCCGTGTTCTAGCACGGCGCGAAGGTGCTCGCCGCGTACTTCCCTGAGTTCCGCGAACCCAGGTGACCGCCTCGAAGACACCGGCGCAGCTTGACGTCCACCGGAGCCCCACCACGCAAGATACCCTGCCCCACCCCGCCGCACAGACCCGCCTTCCTGCCGCACTCGGCTCGCCTTGTGCGCCTGCGCAGCACTTGGCCGCTACGTGCGCCTCAGACCACACCTCTCGCTTGTGTCACGCCTTCTGAAGCTCCGCCCCCGCCGCCCGGATCCCACCCCTGTGCGTGGAGGACCCCTTTAGCCCCATGATTCTGCAGCAGCCCCTGGAGCGAGGCCCCCCGGGTTGGGCCCAGCGGGACCTCCGAGCCACCTCAGGGGCGACCCTGAGCTTGGGCGTGAGGTGTGTGCGGGGACCTGGGTGGGCCTAGCCAGGGGACGCAGGGCCTGTCTACCGGACTCCTGAGGTTTGAGTGTGAACTGAGACCTGAGTGGGGCTGGAGCTCAGGACCTTCGCGGCTAGCGCGGTAGGCTGCTGACGACCCTGGGAGAGGGGAGATGGCCTGGGTGTTGGGGTCCAGATAAGGTTGGGGACTGCTGCAGGCTCAGGCTGGCAGATCCTTGGTGGGGGGCCATGAGGGTGGGGTGCACCTGGCTCTTGTTTTCTCCAGCCCCCCTCCTCCAGCTGTGCCCCTGATCATCAAGCGGCGCCTGGAGGAGGAGCAGTGAGTTGGGGGCAGGGACGGGCTCTTCTGCCACCTCTGACCCCCTTGCCTGCCTTCCCAGCCAACCTGCCTCTCCGACTTTCCCCAGGGATCCCATGCGCAAGCAGTTTCTGTCGGAGGACAACATGACCGCCCACTTTTCTCAACTCAGCCTGCATAACGACCACCCCTATTGCAGTCCCCCGAGGGCCTTACCCCCAGCCCTGCCCCCACTCAGGTAGGTGCCAGCCCCAGCAGGACCCCAGGAGTTCACAGCCCAACCTCCAGGCCCTGCCTCATCCTGCTATTTTTAACTTCCACCCAACCTCTGGGTTATTTCCCATCCCGGCTCCTTGGAGGGCTGACCTGGACCCTGGGGGAGGTGCTCTGCCAGGCCAACTCCATCTCCTGCCCTGAGCATTCTTCCTCTTCCAGGAATCCTTGCTCTGAACTGCTCCTGTGGCGCTACCCTGGCAACCTGATCCCAGAGGCCCTCCGACTGCTGAGGTTGGGGGACCCTCCCAGCCCCCACTATCCCAATACTCCTGCTGCGGACATGATGGAACTCTGAGCGCTGGGAGACCAGTGTCCTGCCCCCCTCCCGTGCGGGAGACTATACCCCACAAAGGACAAGCCACCCTGCGTCTTCAGTTTTCACAGTTCATCAGGCCACTAGGCACCGGACTTTTCCTTCCCCCACCAAGTTGGATGCTTAGGACAGAGCCCTGAGTGGGAGGATCCGGGAGCCATCGGACTCACTGAATAAAGACGCAAAGATGACGCTTCAGTCCCAGAGGATGTAGGGCGCCGGATGTAGTGACCCCCCCCCCCAAAAAAAAAAAAATCTTCCCTGGAAAAAACGGTCTGGGCCCAGCCAGGCCCTGGCAGGCTGGCCTCAGCCATTGAGAATGTGTGACTCAGAGCCCCGCCCCCGCCCCCGCGGCCTGGCTGGCTGGCTGGCTGACTCACTGACTCACTGCCTGCCTGCCAGCCCAGGAGAAGGTCTGGGCAGGGACCAGATTCTGGCCAGGACCGCAGAACTCTCCAGGCCGTTACAGTTAAAGACTTTTTATTAATAAATTCTCCCAATCTCTCAGACTCCCCCCCCCAATAAATATCTCCCCCACTTTGGGGGCTAGTAGAGGCAGTGTCTCAGAGTGCCCCCTCCCCTAGAGGGCCAGCCCCTAGTGTTGACAACAAGTCCCCAACACCCCCCAAGACTGACACCCTCCTGGCAGAGTTTCAGTCCTGGCCATGTGGGACCTAGTGTAGGCCTGCTCCTTCAAGGCAGCCTGGCCCCTGGGGCATGATAGGGGGAGACCCCCTTGTGCAAATGGTACAGTTCTCAGTGTCAATGGTGTGAGAGCCAGGTGGGCCCCTTCTGTCCAGGAGCTCAAGAGCAGGTAGGCAGATGCCTTGGTGGGCTTCCCCAAACCTCAGGCCTCAGAGGTGATTCACCACTCCCCCCCCCCTCCCAGTGGTTGGCTGGGCCTGGCACAGGCTTCCTCTGAGAGGCAAGGGCAGGTTCCAGAATGAATGAATGATGGCTGTCACTGGATCAGCGCCACACCGGGGCAGCCCTCTCCGCCGGTCTCCTCGATGGGGGCTGGAAGACAAGAGGGGCACTGTGAAAGGGGGAAATAGTGTTATGGGGCATGGGAATGAGGGGGCCAAGTGCAGGGGCACACTTACTGGTAAACTTCTCTCTCCTGCGGCAACGCCTCCAGACCAGGAAGCTGGTGAGCCCCACCAGCAGGAAGGCCAGACTCAGGGTGCCCCCCAGGATGGGCCAGAGCAGCTGGAAGGAGGCTGGAGGGGTTGTGGTACCTGGGGACAAGATGTAAAGTCAGACCAGCCTGCGCCCCACCCTCCGTTGCCCCCTAGGGTCAAAACCCCGTCTCTCTCCCTCTACCGGTTTAGTTCTGCCCCAGATGAGAAGCCTGATGCCTGCCTGTTGCTCTCTAGCCGCCCCTTCTCCACCCATCTCCCCCACACCGCCCCCCTGCCGTGCTCAGGGGCCACCCAGTCAGACCCTGCCCCTACTCACAGCCCAGGCAGAAGTCGCTACGCGGCCGTGCTGAGCAAGACCCACAGTCCATGCACTTGTCGAGGTCTGCACTCCAGGAAGTGCCAGGAGAGCAGGGGGTGGTGCCTGGGGAGGGGGCTGAGGGTCAGAGGCTGGGGCGGGGCCCAGCTATTCTGGGGGCTGAGGTCAGGGTCAGCCAGCTCAAATGACGTGAGTCACCGGCGCCTTCTCCCACATTCCTCACAGGTGACTACACGGCCTGACTGGGACTGAGCAGCCAAACTTGGGGAAAGGGGGGTACAGTGTGGGCCACTGGGGGGTCAGATTCCTCCACAACTCCCCCCTCCCTGCCACTAGCGGGTGACTCACTCCTGGGCACCAGGCCCAACCCCAACCCCTCCCCCTGCATAGCTAGGCAATGAAGTCACCAGACGGAAGGGGGCACCCCACATGGCATAGGGGGCAAAGACCCCTGTGCTCAACATCCCCTATCTTCAACCCTGGGGCTGGGCAGACCAACCCTGCATTGGCCAGAATGGGGGCGTGACCCTTTAACAGAGGAGGCATCCCTCCCTCAAACTTCGCTTTTCTCTAAGCACAACTTTCGGGAAGATGCCCCCCCACTGGATCAGCGGGGGATGTGGGGGACTGAGGGTTGTGGATGAAGCTCATAGGTGGATGGGTCCCCCTCCCAGGAAACGCAGTGTCAGGAGCCAAGCTGGCCCCGGCGCCCCACGTCCACCCGCTCCCCATGATTCTTCCCGGCTTCTCCAAGCACCCTCCAGACTGAGTCCCACCCACTGCCCAGTTCAGGGACTGCCCGGCCACCCCATCTGCCCTCCAGACCCCGGCTCCATGCCCGAGTACCTGGCGCTCGCTCTCCGGACGCCACGCGCAGCAGCGCCAGACCGAGTCCCAGTGCCAGGAGCCGCAGCAGCGGGCACAGCGGGGCCAGGGCCATGGTGCGCGTCTCCCGGCAGCAGCCGTCTGCCCCACTCTCCAGCCGGCCGCTGGGGCAGCGTGTCCTCTCCTCGCCCCCGCCTTCCGGGGCGGAGCTGCAGCCTGTCCCGCCCCTCGCTGGCCCCGCCCCGCGCTGGCTCCACCTGCCCCGCTGCCCGCTACCTTCAGTCCTTCCTCTTACAAACACCAGCTCCGTCCGCATCCAGGACCCCGCAAAGGCACAAACGCGGGACAGCGCCTCTCGGTGTCCAAATCCGGGGTGGGGAGCGTCAGACACACAAGACAGCTAGCTTATCACCGAGATGGAAATTGTAGCAACTTCCTTCAGGACCCCGGGGCTGAACAATAACAATGAAACAAAAGTAATTCCTACCATTTCTGCGGCGCTTTCCGTCCGCCGTGACCGCACCTTTGGATGCAGTCACAGATCAAAGCGGAGGATCCTGTTCTCCAGTTTTCGGGGTAGGGACTAAAACCGCACTGCCGCCGCGTCGATTCCGACTCCCAGCGACCCTATAGGTCAGGGTAGAGCGGCTCCAGGCGGAGTCCGAGCTGTAAGTCTCGAGGCGAGCAGAGAGCCGCATCTTTCTCCGCGGAGCGGCTGGTAGGTTCAAACTGTGACGTTGCGCTTAGCAGCCCAGCGCATAACTCACTGAGCCACCAGGTCTCAGGGGTAGAGAAGGGTAGGTGGCTTACCGGGGTCTCAAAGTTAAGAAGCCGAGGACCCCCAAAATCCCGTTGGTCCCCACGCCCGGCGACTTCACCCACCGCTGGCCGGAAATCACCTGCCGGAGTCCCAGCCGGAGCTGGAGAGCCCCCTTCTGACCAGGTTGGGATTCGCGCGCGCGGCGCAATCCGGGCTGGGGTCGTGCCCCTCCCCAGGGGCGGGGGGCGAGTGACGTCACGGCCACTTTAAGACCCCCCTGCCTCCGCCCCGACGCGCACTCGGCCGCCTCCCAACAACTCTCGTCCCTTAGCAGGTGAGCAGGCGGTAAGTTTGGAAGAGGGATGGGGCGCGCGGAGGGACCCGAGTCCAGGGGTCGCGACGGCGGGGTTGGGAGCGTTGTGTGGGCCTTCTTGGACAGCGCTCCTTGCGACGAAACCCCGGACGGGGAGCTGCGCCGAAGTCCCTGAACAGGTTGGATCCTAAAGCTGCTCCTGAAGGGTTAAACACCCGTCCCCTAGGACAAAGGCTCCCAAACCCCGGGCGCCCCTCCCCCCACCTGCGCTGCCTCTTGTGGGGCCGGGATCCTCTCGCACGCCCCCTTCCCTGCTGGAGCGGACCCTGCTACCGGGACACACAGCCCCCTCTCTCCGGGCCCAGGACGGGCGGGGTCTCGAGTCTTGGAGGGCGCTTAGGAGTGGCTGGCTGCTGCCTCAGGCCGGCTCTAACCCGGGGCGAGTAGCTTCTCTGGGCCGGGCGGGGCATGGCAGTCTTGGAGGGCCGAGTCCAGAACCTGCCCGCAGGCGGCTCCTGGAGCTGTAGGTTGTACAGTAGTTGAGTGCCGAACCAAGTTGATCCTCTTAGGGGACATCCACGCCATTGGGATGGAGAGGGAGACAGGTGCCCTGCGCCTAGGTGACTGGGGGTGCGGCTCAGTACCCGATGAAAACCAGGCTTCCTTTTGGGAAGTTGTGCCCTATGGCCACCCCAGCCAAACAGTTGGGTGGGCGAAGACACAAAAGAAAAATCCCCACCCTAGGGACTATGCTGGGTGTGGGTCGAAGGTGGCCCTAGGGAAGGAGGATTGATGGTTGGGAGGGGCAGTTTTTCCTTTTCTCTAGATGGGCTGGGATTGGGCAGACTAGCCAGCCGCCTGGGAGGAGGCCCAGGAGAGCCAGACTTGGGTAGATCGAGGACAGTGTCCTGCTCTCAATCTGGTAGCCACGGGCCTGGACATCCGTCCATGTATTGCAAGTGAAGCTCGTGGCTGAAGCTCTATGCTCCCCACAAAGCTCCTGGTGGTGACTGCCTCTACACCCGCTTTTTGCCACTTTGTTGCTGGGTAAACCATGGTAGGAGTCAACCCGCTGTGAGCTGGCCTGCTGCTGCTTTCTTCATTGACACACAGGTAGTCGGGAAATTCTGAAGAGCCCGTGTGATGGGTGATAAAGAAAGACCTCAGGGAATGTGCTGTGCCCCCTGGGACAGCAGGAAGTTCCTGCTCCCAGGGTCCCTGTTCTAGTACTTTCCACATGGTGGCCAAGGCCTAGTGAGGGTAAAGTGGGCTCGATGTTGTTTCTGTTTCTGTCTCTGCAGATTCTGGTCCTCGCCATGGCCTCCGCTGGGATGCAGATCCTGGGCATCATCCTGACCATCCTCGGCTGGGTGAATGCCTTGGTGTCATGTGCCCTGCCCATGTGGAAGGTGACTGCCTTTATCGGCAGCACCATCATGGTGGCCCAGGTGATGTGGGAGGGGCTGTGGATGTCCTGTGTGGTGCAGAGTACCGGCCAGATGCAGTGCAAGGTCTACGACTCCCTGCTGGCCCTGCCCCAAGACCTGCAGGCGGCCCGCGCCCTCAGTGTGGTCTCCCTGCTGGTGGCACTGATTGGCCTGCTGGTCTATATGGCCGGGGCCAAGTGCACTACCTGCGTGGAGGACAAGAACTTCAAGGCTCGCCTGGTGCTCACCTCTGGGATCATCTTTGTTGTCTCAGGAATTCTGATCCTCATCCCCATCTGCTGGACAGCCAACACCATCATCCAAAACTTCTACAATCCCCTGGTGGCCGAGGCCCAGAAGCGGGAGCTGGGGGCCTCCCTCTACCTGGGCTGGGCTGCCTCTGGTCTTTTGTTGTTGGGGGGTGGGCTCCTGTGCTGCACATGCCCCTCGAGGGGGTCCCGGGGCACCAGCCATTACATGGCCCGCTATACAGCATCTCCTCCACAAGGTACATCCCGGGTGCCCTCCGAATACCCCACCAAGAATTATGTCTGATGAGGAAAAGGGGTGTCTCTCTCTCTTCCCTCCTCCTCCTGTCCCTCCCCACTCCCCAGCTGCAGCCAAATGATGGGCAGTGATACTTGGCAGCGTTGGTCTTTTTGCTCTTCTGGCGTCCTGGGGGGCCTTTCTTGGCATCAACTTGGATAACAGAATCAGAAGATGCCCCACCCATCCTGGCCTCTGTTGCTGGTGGTCCTTTCTCACCCTGACATGACTTGCCTGCACCCACAGCGCTGGAGCTGGGGCTCCGTGTGAAAGACTGATCTCCGGCACCAGGATGGTGTGCCCCCAAGAGGAGCTCCTGTCACTGTCACCTCCATTACCCCTGCTGGCACCACCACCACCTATTGAGAAAGAGGACTCTTGGACTGAGCAGGGATACCCCTTCCTAGATGCCCTTGGGGGGAGCCTCCCGATTGAACTTCTAGAAGAACCACAAAGTACCAAAGAGACTCCACCTCCAAGTCTTGTGACCTGGAGCTATGGCTCCATCCGCCTCCTGCCACCAGCTGTCCTGTAGACCACACCTACCCTCCGGGGCCCTGGGCTCACCTTTTTACTAAAATAAAGTGTCTTGCTAACATGCCTTCAGTGTTGCTTGGGTGTGGCGTGGAGAACTTCACTGCTTCTTTTTCTGATGGCCCTCCGAAGGCTGGGCCTGGCCCAGACCCCTCAGAGGCCAGGCTGGCGTGAAACAGGCCATGGGCCCCAGGGGAGGCCACTTGGCTGTCCCTGCCCAGAGGTTAGTACACAGATCAGAGGAGCCTACCAGTACAAACACTCTTTATTCCCAACTGAAAGGTGGGGGTGGAGGAGGATGGACTATGCAGGACTTTCCAATCCCAGAGGGTCCCCAACCTGGGCCTCATGGATGCTGTGATAGCCAGACTAAGGGCCCAACAATGCAGGGTAGGAAGATCATTGGAACTTCTCCAGGTGTCTAGGGTGGGAGGAAGGGGAGCCAGGAGTTTAGAAAGAGGAAGGGTCAATCCATCCTGGACAGCAGAGGAAAGGAACGAATATGGGGAGCTACGAGCAAGCCAAGGTCACCCCATCAGCTCTGGCCCAACCCCTGGGGACAGCCCAGCCAGGTGAGGATATCACTGAGGAGGCTCTGACTCAACCAGTCTTCTCGAAAGTGGAGCCACTAGTGTCCTTGTCAGGTGAGCGTGGAGCAAGGTGTCCTGGGTGGGCTGGAAGGTGAGGGCCCAAAGGCATCCGGGTTGGCGGTTCCGCAGTCTCACACATAGTCCCTCTTGTCCAGTCCTGACGCTCCGGAGCGGGAAGGGATGGAGTAACCCAACCGAGGTCCGCGGGGATGGTCGATCTGGGGCGGGGGACATGTGCAGCAGAGAAGCCCCCCACCCAGCATGAGCAGGGCGGCTGCTGCCCAGCCCAGGTAGAGGGAGGCCCCCAGTTCCCGCTTGAGAGCCTCGGCCACCAGGGGGTTGTAGAAGTCCTGGATGATGGCGTGGGCTGTCCAGCAGACAGGGATGAGCACCAGGACCCCGGAGAGGAGTAGAAGAGCGCCTGCTGTGAGCACTATTCGGGCCTTGGCCCCCTCATCGTCCACGCATGTGGTGCACTGGGCGCCTGTGATGGCTACCAGCAGGCCGAGCAGGGCCAGCAGGAGGGCGACAATGCAGAGGGCGCGGGCCGCCTGCAGGTCCTGGGGCAGGGCCAGCAGGGAGTCGTAGACCTTGCACTGCATCTGGCCCGTGCTCTGCACCACGCAGGACATCCACAGCCCCTCCCACACCACCTGGGCCACCACAATGCTGTTGCCGATGAAGGCGGTCACCTTCCACAGGGGCAGGGCGCACGACACCAGGGTCCCCAGCCAGCCCAGCACGGCCAGGGTCATGCCCAGTAGTTCAAGGCCAGTGGAGGCCATCTGCCCCCTCCGCTGGGTGGACTTGGCTCAGAGGAGTGGTGAGACTCGGAGCGGAGTGTCCAGCAGGAGAGGGAGGGGTCCTGTGGACGTCAGTGTCCTCCACAGGGACGGTCTTCACATGGGGGGGATGAATACCACCAACCTCTCGCGTGCTCCTCAGTCCTGCCGCTTGTGTCCCTTCGAGGGGCAGTTGGCCATCAGATTCCCTGTTTCGCCACCACCACCTGTCCCACAGAGCTGGCTGACCCCTCACCCACCTGTGCGCCCTCCTGTGGGACTCAGGTCCACTCTGAGCTGCTGCACCTCTCACCAGGTGCCATCTGCAGACTGCTGCTTGGGTTGGGAGGCGGGGTTTTAAAGCTGACATGGGGGAGGGACAAGGAAGAGGTGGAGCCCCCAGGGAGCTGTGGACTGGGGGTGCCTTGGAACCAATTGTGGGCACATAGTGACCAGCCAGGGCAGGAAAGGGTTTTGTGTGTAACCCCAGGGACAAAGGAAGAGGGAGCTCAGTGGAGGGTGGGCTGTGGTGGGGGCATTGATGGGGAGGAGACAAAAATAACGGGGGGGTGGGGGGTGTTCCTCTTTTCCAGCTGCCCCTCCCTGCCATTTTTGCTCTCCCGGACACTGGTTTCGTGATGCACACCCACCCCACCCCCAGCCTCCCAGTATCACACACCCACTCCCTCCTGCTCTGTCCCCCTAGACTCTGGAATCCGATCTGTCTACAGTCTCAGCCCAGCGGCCCTGGAGGCTCCCGAGGGAGGGGCCCCGCCCGCCCTGTTCCCCAGGCAACAGGTGCCTGGCGCCCAGCTCAAGTGGCATCGCCCAGGCAACGGCCTAGAAACCTGCCCCCCCCACACACACGTGCACTGCTACCTCAGCTCAGGTGTGTCCTCCCCTCCCCCACTGATGAAACTGGGGGGCTGAGCTGACTCAGAAGGTCTCCTGTGGGGTGGCAAGGATAAAGAGCTTGTTGTGGAAGTGTGCAGGGAGGGGCAGGAGGTGCCCAGGCAGGGATACAGCCCCAGTGCCCAGCTGGCCCTCTTCCTGGGGAGTAAGTTAGCCCCCCTGTTTGAGGGGCCATGGAGGTGGAAAAGGGCCAGAGGGCCAGGGTGGCCCCCGGCCCTCACCGCCTCCCCCCTTGCTGCTGTTGGAAAGACTTCCCTTTCGGAAAAGCTCCAAGGAGTGGCCAGCTCCCCCTCCCTCTCCCCCCTGGACTTTGGACTGAGAGTTACCCAAATCATAGCTCAAATTCTGCAGCCTGCCCCCACCTCCCTGGTCAATAAAGGGAGATCAAGGTCCTTAAAGTCAGTGGGCCAAAGATCGCTCCAGGCCCCCCCACCAGCTGTGGGAAGGGGCTCCCCGAAGCACATGGAAAAACACCATTACTTTATTCCATTTTCCCATCGGCTTTCCAAAGCCCACTCAGTTTACCCTGATCTGAGAAGGGAGGGAACGATGGGAATACATTCTGTTCATCTTCCAGGGATGATGCAGACCCCAAGGCGCAAAAGGAGCCCTCACCTGGAAGCACTTCTCAACTCCACCATACCTTCTTTGAGGACCCAGCCCCTGAAAGGCTGGGAGTCCTGGGAGTGCAGGTCCCTGTTGTGTGTGTGTTGGGGTGTGTGGGGTTGTGTGTGCACCAAAATGCTTCTGATGCCATGGCTCAGCTCAGCGCTCTGACCCAAGTATGAGCACATTGCCTCTGGAAGGAAGGAGTTTTAGCATGGTTGTTGGTACGGTTTAGAGGTGAAGCCGATGGCTTCCAGGAAGTGGAATTTGGGACCAAGGAAGCTGAGATCCCTCTCCCTCTAAATTGAGGAGACTGTGTTCCACACCCACAGCTACTCTGGAAGGGAGCTTCAAGGGCTTTCTCTACCCCTGGGGTCCCCTCTGGTGTGAGAAGCTGGTGGACCCTTCCCTCCAGGAACAGCCACAGGCCTGGGGCTGCCTGCATGGAAGCCAGCCTTCTGGGTGGCTTTGCCCACCTCCTCCAGAGCCAGGAGCCTCAGATTTCAGGACAAATAGAGGCAAACCAGCAAGCCTGTGGGTCCCTCCACCCGGCCATCCCTGGGCGCCAGGAATCCAGCCACACTGGTTTGGGCAGGTGTCAACCTGGAGGGAGGCTGTGAGCAAGCCTGGGTCTGAGGGGCCCCTCCAGACCCAATAGCAGCCTCCCCAGGGGCTGCCCCCCTCCCACCCAAAGGCACCCCCCTAACCAAACCCTTGAAGCTTTAAGTGACCAACTTATCCCTGGGTTGCTTGGAAGGACCTCAGTCTTTGCCCTGAAAGTCTTGTGTCCGGGGGCCCAGGATGGCTGGTCCCCAGGACAGTCCGGGTGGGTGGAAATTGCAGGTCAGCTCCAAGGGTAGGGCCCTCTCAGGAAGGGCTCCTGATCACTCTCAAAGGGTGAGGGTCCTGGGGCCCCTAGGCAGGAGCACTTCACCCTCAGTTCCCAGAGGCAGACCAGAGACTGTGGGCAGAGAGAGCCCAGCACCTAAGGCCCCAGGCCCTAGCCTAGGCGCAGATCCACCTGCTGGAAGTGAATTCTGAGAGCTGAAGGGTTAAAGTAGAGACCTGCGTGGGGACTGAGAGGGGCTGGAGTGCCATTGATATGGAGGGTGACTCCCAAGGCGCTGTTCCGCTGTTCCGGGTTCCCACCTCAATGGCACTTTAACACCTAGTGCTGACCCCACCTCCCTTCTGCAGTCTGGGACGGGCTGGGGGAGGGGAACCTGGCAGTTCCTATGCTGAGGCCCAGCCCAGAGACCAGGCCTTCTACCTGTCCCTACCTGGGGACAAAGCCCTGGGAAAGCTCCCCATCGGAGGGAGGGCAGAAGGGGTGGAAATAGGTCAGCCAGGTGGGGCAAGGTGGAAGTGGTTAGCTGCGATCTTATTTGTGGACATAGCATGTTCCAGAAAGCAAAGTGTGGCCTAGAGAACTGTTACCCTGCTTCAATGAGGTCAGAGGGTTGGGAGGGAGGCCGCATACCCCCCCACCCTTCCGCAGAACCACCCACTAGTCAGAAACCAAGAACACATAGGTCCCCGGCTCCCCAGTTAATTCCTGGGAGCCAGGTCATAATTCTCACAGGAGAGGAGACTGAGGCCCAGGGACTTGAGGAAAAGCCGCTGGAGGCAGATACCCAGAGTAGGAGCCTGGTTGCAAACTTTGACTTCAGGGCTGCACTACCTTGGTTTCCAGAGTCCCTTCTCTTGGCTGGCAGTGTGGCAGTGGAGTCTCCCACACTATCTTGTTCTTGGGGAGGCAGCCCTTCCTCCTTCCCTTCTCCAGATCCGGGAACCGCATCTGGATCTCATTACCCCAGGAACCACCTGGTGCCTGAGTCACCTACCCCAGCTCTCTGCTCCAGGAGCTGTAGCCATTTAGGGGAGGCAGCCGGTGGACTCTGTCAGACTCCAAGCCTTGGACTAGCCCCCACCCCAGGGCCAGGCCTGGGTCTAGCCCCCACCCCAGGGCCTTGATTGCAGAAACGTCCTTGACCTCAAGTGCTTCTGGGCTGTAAGCAGATAGTCAATCTCTCCCTTGCTCATCCCAGCTTCCCCACTGCAGGACCCCCGCCCCCTTTCAGGGACTTTCGGAAGCTCTTTCCCTGCTGCGAGCAACCCCCCAACACATACATACACACACTTTTGGGATCAGTAGGGAACCCCCGTTCTGATGGCATAGTGGTTAAGCATTCAGATCACAGAAAGGTTGGTGATTGAAGCCCACCAGCCACAAAGGTGTGGCAGTTTGTACTCCCAAAGGTTACCGGTTTGGAAACCCTCTGGGGCCGATCTGGACTGACTCAGGACAAGGGCATTTTTGTCAACAGCCTAATGGCAGTTTCACTTGTTAAAAATCCAACGGATCAGATTCAGTGGATTGGGCTAACAATTAACTTTATTATCAGCAGTGGCTGTCAGTCCCATCCCACCCCCACCCCTCACCAAACACAAACACACACTATCAGTTTGCAGATTTCTTTGGGGGGAGGGGAGGCCTGGGTGGGCAACGCTCTCTTCTTCCAGTGTGTACATGTTTGTGTTTTCTTGAGTGTACATTCGGCTTCCGGCTCTGACTGGTCTTCGCTGAGGGGAGGAGGATAAAGGGACCTGGCGGCAGCCGGCCAGCTAACATCGAAACACAAGTCACTCATGATTCCACAGGAGTTCCCACAGTTCCGGCTTCCAGCCCCCGAGGACAAGCGGAAGCCACAGGTCAAAGAACAGGATCATCGTAGGTCTGTCACCTGCAGCTGGGGGTGGGTGGGGGGGGTGCGGCACGGGCAGACATGGGGAGCAGTGGCACGCCCAAAGGATATGCCGGAGTCGTAGCCCATGGACAGGACCTTATTTGAAGAGTGTCTGGGAGCATAATAAAAATAAGGCTGTCAACACGAATCCCACATCCAAGGGCTGTGTCCTTACAAGACACAAGACAGAGCAGAAAGGAGATCCGTTTGAGACATGCAACTGGGACAGCGTCATGATCTGATCAGGGCAGAAGCCCAGAGGTGCCGGGGACCACCAGGAGCCAGGGAAGGAGCAAGGCAGGCTCCTCCCCTAGAGCCTGACAACCAAGCCCAGGAAAATGTGTAGTGAGGAGCCCAGGGGCACAAGGATCAGCAATGGAAACCCATCAGTCCCTCTGAGGGAGAAAGTCTGCTTCCGTAAAGATCGACAGCCTCATGGGACAGTTCTAGACCTACCCAGTCCTGGGGTGGCAGTGGGTCAGAATGAGCATGCAAGCCGGGGGGCTGGGGCTGCTCTGTGGGGCTTTGTCATCACAGCCCAGGTTGAACACCCACTGCCCTCCTGGTCCCAGTCCCAGGCTCTTCAAGGTCTCCCAAGGTCAAATCTGACAGCCAGCAGGGCCTGTGGCTGGCTTCCTGAGCAGCCTCCTGGTGACTTGAGCTTCAGCCACCTGGGGAACAAAGGGAACCTTTATTAGGAGTTGGACAAGCTGTGGAGAAACTGTGGGGTGGGGGTGGGGGGAAGAGGTCATGATGGGAGAGGGAAGGAGTTTCCTCTGAACTCACAGTGTGAGTGTTCTTGCCCTGCTGTGGGGCCACCACAGTCCAGCCACATGCCTGGGTGACCCTGCTGCTCCAGAGCCCAGTATCGATCCCAGTATCGACTGTCCATCATCTCCTGAGACCGCTTGCAAATGAGCCATTTCTGTAGAGGAGGTGAAAGAGTTAGCCTGCTGATAATCAAAACACTAGTAATACCACATAATTTAAGACTGAGGTGGTTAAAAAGAAAAGAAAAAAAAAAGAATGAGGTGGTTAGAAAGCCAAAATGTAACAGCCCCCTCCCTGACAGTAAAAATTCCTTTTAAGCTTAATCAATAGGGATGGTCTTCTAACTCTTGGAAGGCAGTAACTTGGTCATTAAGACAGGTAGCCAGACAGGGAGCATCTCCCATTGAGATAGGACGATGGTGTGGGAAATCACAGAGAAATGTAGGGCATTTCCTGGGAGCACTGCAAAATTTGCTTCTTTGTCCCAGAGCTTGGAGTCTTTGCTGTGATTACTGAAAAACTCTCTGTGTCACATGTTATTGTTAGGGACCATCATGCTGGTTACACCCATAGGGACCCTGTGCACCAGAGAACAAAACCCCGCCCTGTCCTACAATACCCTCACAACTGTTCCCACATGAGCCCAGGGTTGCATCCAACCTGCCAATCCCTCTCCTGAGGGCCTTCCCCTCTTTGCTGCCCCTCTATTTCACCAAGCATGATATTCTTCCCTTGGGATTGGTCTTTCCCGAAAACATATCCAAAGCCTGTGAGACAAAGTCTCATCATCCTTTCCTCTAAGGAGCATTGAATTGGCTGTGCTTTGGGGGTGTACAGCTTGCTTGATTTTCACTAAATGCTTCAAGCAGCAGGGAGGTAGCTAGCCCCACTGCTGCCTTCTGTCTCCCACTTAAAGAATAAACTTGAGTTTCTCCAATCAACCTGGTCTGTCTCTCTGAGTCTTTGGCTGAAACCCTGACAGGCAACCCCCCTCCCTTGACTCAAAAAGATGACAGGGAGGGGCAGGGCAGTACATCCCCACAGCCACACCACTAGAAAGGCGGGAAGCAGAAGGTCCAGTCTGAACACGAGTTGCCACTCCCCACCCCCACCCTGTCACAGGGCTGGCACGCTGACCCCAGGCCAATCCTTATCAGCACCCAGCTAGGTTACTAGCTCAAATAGCCCAGCGGGAGGCCATGGTGGGGGAGAGCTTCAATTGAGCTGGCTTATAGACCAGCGAGAGTCACCCCCACGCCCTACACTTCTAAGCCCCCTCTTGGCTGTGCCCGTATCTACGTGGGAGGCAATGCCTGGCAGTTGCGACTTACCAACAAGGCGGCGACAAGAAGTGGGGCGGCAGGGGAGGCCGGAAGGCGGGCAGCGGCCAGGGATCCCGGGGTGCGGGTGGCGCCAGTAGGCCGAAGGGTGAGGGCCGCGCGGGTAGT